TTAAGCAGAAACATTAAATTATTAAAAACGAAATTTCAAGCTTTAAAATAATTGGTAATTTTTGATTGCTTCGTGTTTTTTCTTTTATTTTTTCCATTGCGTTTTCTAAACCTATTAGGTTGTCACACACTATTTGGCACATCATGAGTCGAAAAATAATGTTTAAGTTGAGGAATTAATGCTCTGGTTTGTAAATTCTATAAAATTTCTTCTCCGTTCTGATTTCTGCAAAATCTAACAAAATATTTCGCATCGCATTACGATTTATAAGACGTTTCGAAACAAAATTACTATTTATAAGAGGTTCAATATTCTTTGCGTTGCGCCAAATACTACGAATTAACGAGGGGACCAAAATGTATGGAATTTTTACGAATTAACTAGTTTTTTTCAGGGGGACAGAATTTTTTACGAATTATCGCGATTTTCGATTTAGCGGGGTACGAATTATCGGGATTCGACTGTATAAGAATTTGAATTTTAAGTCTACCTCTGCACGAAATAAACTGTGAGCTATTGTAGGTGCCATACAAACGATCTTTAGGTGTGGAGAAAATGCACATCTGTGACTGTAAAACTGCAAATATAATATGTAAAGGTGAATGAAATGAAAGCAGGTATTACTTCATTGTTTTTTAACACAAATATATATAATTTATATTGTATGGATTCCTAGTCATAGAAGTTCTATCTGCAAGGGTATATAAACTTCGGCGAGTCGAAGTTAGCTTCCTTTCTTGTTTTTAGATATTTTTCTAATTGCTAGTTTTGGTTTAATATTTTCACATAATAAAAAAAATATATCTGTTTAATTAAATTTAATTCCAATGGGCTTAAAGAGTTTAGGGCCAAATCTATGCAAATCGAGAGTAAATGCTAAGAGATATGAATGAAAAATCCAAATGTTTTTCAAGGGATCTTGAATCTTGGATAAAATCATTTGATTTTATTTGTATAAAAAGTATTTTGATAGAATTTGTCCGAAAATCTGAACAGCTTCCTCGCAGAAAATATGTTTTTTGTGTCGTATGACCTAATTTTAGTTCTCACTAAAACTTACATATTTCGTAGAAAATATGGAAGGGCTCTGACTCGTTCCATCCGAACCCGATATACTTATAGCCAAATGTTTCAAGGTCAACAACATTTAAGGGTCTTGTGAGGTCGCTGATTTTAAATGCGACCATAGGTTGACCATAGCCGCTTAAGCTCAAGTACCTACAGAACCTTGAAATCCGATTCAAATCATTTGGAATTAATATTAATCGTGTCAAAATGTTATGATATAAATAGTTAGTTAGTTAGTTTAGTTCGGCATGGTAATAATTTTGAATTTATTTTTAAATTTATTACTGTATTTAAAATTAATCGTTACAAAATTTGATAAAATAATTCTTCGAAGGTCAAAGTGTCATCGGCCCTTTTATCTCACTTCTTGTTTGATAAAATTAAACTTGCCATTGTACAACGCAGTAAAGGAGCAGTTGATGCAGTAATTCTTCTATATACTTTCACTCGTAGATATGTTGAAATGAGCTGGATCGGACGACTATATCATATGGCAGCCATACAAACAATCGAAAAGTTTTTAGAAAAAAACCTTTTCTAATTTTCAACAGATTTTCATATAATTTTAAATATAGGCATTCAATCGATCGTTTGTATGGCACCTATATGATATAGTCATCCGATCATGAAATTTCACACCAAATTTAAGACTGATATAAAATGGCTATACCTCAAATTTGTTGAAAATCTGTTGAAAACTAAAAAAGTTATAATTTTTAACTGTATTAATTTCTCGATCGTTCCAATGGGAGCTAAATGATATAGTTCTCCGCTTTTCATAAAATTGTACACAAAATTGAAGAGTATAATAAAATGGCTATATTTTAAATTTGATCCAATTCTATTGAAAACTAAAAATGTTAAAAATTTTTTTTTTTAAATTTTCCGATCATTCCTATGGGAGCTATATGATATAATCGTCCGATCCGGCCTGTTCCGACATATATACGAGTGAGAATATATAGAAGGCTAACTGCAAAGTTTCATTAAGATAGCTACAAAACTGAGAGACTAGTTTGCGTAGAAACGGACAGACGGACAGAAGGATAGAAGGACAGACGGACAGACGGACAGGCGGAAAGACGGAAAGCGGACATGGCTAGATCGACTCGGCTGTTGATCCTGATCAAGAATATATATACTTTATATGGTCGGAGGTGCCTCCTTCACTGCGTTGCAAACTTCTGACTGAAATTATAATACCCTGCAAGGGTATAAAAACGGCTGTCATGCTACAGTTCCATTTATTTTGTTAAAAAAAATTTAATTTATATCTCCTTATATCTCAGCCATTTGTGAATATTTTGTATTTTTCCAATAATTAATTTCCTATTAATAAAGAGTTGTATTTTTAATAGCTTTGACAAAATTAATTTTTGAAATTTTAATTTTCAGGCGTTCAGGGTGGTCTAACCCCTTAATTTTGATTTACATTTCCACGTCAAACTCAATATTTACCAAGTGCAGGTCCAGCGATCTGCCATAAATCAGATGATAATTGTTGCCATCCCCCATCCCCTCATTAAGCCGCATCCGTGAAGCATCTGCACCTGCACCCGAAGCCTAACAATTACATTTTCCACAGTTCCCATGGACTGCATGCCGTAATCGCATTTTGGGATTGTCGCAACTTGCGGCCCAAATAAACCACCCCGCCGCTTTGCGTCCAGGGATTCGCATCCGGATTCCCCGGCTTAAACCCATCATCATCATCAAGTGGCGCGAATTACAGATCAAACATGCAGTCAGCGGAGGGTGGGATGAAAGGACGACAGGAGGAGGGTTCTCCTTGTTGTTTTGGGTGCCCATTTGTCAAGAAGGTTGACAACATTACCCTGGAAATTAAATAGCGTAATAAAAGGGTGACTTAATTTGTTTTTTTGGTCGGAGCGGCGGACGCCGCCACTTGCCGCACGGGAGGAGATGAGCTGTGAACACGTGTTTGCTTTCCAATAAAATATATTTCTCTATACATTTAAGGGCGATGCCAGTCTTTTACAGTCTACCGTCCAGCCAGGATATTGAAATTTCTGGCATTGTCAACCCAGAGCGACAGATAAAACGACAATTACTCGCATCTAATAACGGGAGAACTCGAGTTCGAGACTCGAGACTCGGGAACCAAAAACCAGAAACCAGCCGGGGAGCTTAGATTTAAGTAGCTGATAATGCCCAAGTTGACGCGTGACGTCCAATTCCCCGGTATTTTATTAACAATTTGAACAATAAAAGTCAGCTTTTAATCACCGGCGGACGGATCTGAATTCTAAAAGAGGTCCAATAAAATGTACATGCAATGTTATATCTATTGAATAAGTTGGTATAAATTTTTAATCCCTTATATGTTTACCTAACAAGAAATAAGCTCACTTCGACACGTCGATCTTATATTTGTAAAACAGCAGAAATAATAGAAGCAGACTCATGATCGTCAAGATCGTTCTCATCAATTTTATATTTCATTTTTTATACCCTTGCAGGGTATTATAATTTCTATCAGAAGTTTGCAACCTAGTGAATGAGGCACCTCCGACCATATAAAGTATATATATTCCTGATCAGCTTCAACAGCCGAGTCGATCTAGCTATACCCGTCTGTCCCTCTGTTCGTTTCTACGCAAAACTAGTCTCTCAGTTTTGAAGCTATCTGAATAAAACTTTGTAGTTAGTCTTCTAAATACTCTCACTCGTATATATGTCGAAACGGGTCGGATCGGACTACTATATCATAAAGCTGCCATAGGAACGATCGGAAAATGGTTTAAAAAAAAAATATAAAATTTTCAGTTTTCAACAGAATTTGATCAAATTTGGTTATATCCATTTTATATTATTCTACAAATTTTTGTAAAATTTTATGAAAATCAGACTACTGTATCATACAGGTGCCATACAAACGATCGTTATATACATATAGAGGAAAAATGTGAATGTAAAACTGTACAAATAATATGTATAGGTGAATGAAATGATGATATGTATATAATTTATATTGTATCGATTCCTAGTCATCATAGTTCTAACTGTTGAAAGTAACATAAGCTTTAGCTCGAAAGTCAGATAATTTATAAGGTCCCGATGGAGTACTTGGTCGAGTACTTAGGTGTCGTCCCGAGACTCATAGATATTTTTGTGTTACTTTTTAAGACCTGCAAAAACCTTATAATACATAAATCATTTAAAATTACCATTCTCTTTTTGGAGTCCCTTTCTTAAAGAAAAAATAATAATCATTTAAAAAAATGCTCATGGCATTTACGCAAACCCGACATTATCCGCAGCCATAAGCCCAAAAATCCGCGCTGAAAAGTGTGCTCTTAATTCGCCCAACTTGTTTCCCAGCGCGTGCACACTAATAAGTTAATCAAACTAATTGCAGCAGTTGAGACGCGGACGGTGGAGACGGGCACTTGCCACAATCCGGAAAGCAAGGAGGAAAATATTTGTGCTGCCAGTTGGCAGCTATAAATTCCGTGCATAACCCCGCTCCCACCGCAACCCTTTTTACGAACAAGCACTAAGTATGCCGTAATCCATGAAAAGGGTTGATGCCTCCATTTCCCGTGCTTTTCATGGCCAGCTTTGGCATTCCGGAGAAACTGATACTGCTGCTGTGACACAAACATGTTAATTGCCCCGCCCCAGGAGGTTGTCACAATCCGTTTGCAACTTTGAACAAAGACAGAACTTGTTTAACAATGTTCTTAAAAATTGACGCACGTTCCGCTTCGTTCGCTTTTTAATTAAAAGTGCAAACGAGTTGGGGAACGTTATGGTTATGACCATTGACCAATGGCCAGTTGAGCTTTGTTAAGCTTTCTAAATTGGCTAAAGAGCTCGGAGTCAGACATTGTGTGTGGCATTGGCGGTGACTTGGCAACAGTTGCCGCACGATTGCAAGGGAGGGGATAGGAAACAAGACTGGAAGGATGTGTGTTGCTACATACGAGAGGAGGCTTTATTCATTAGTCAACTTTTGTCGAACGAGAGAAAAACTTAAGGAAATAAAAACAATACTGAAAGTGGCTTCGTGAACAAAGTAAAAGTAATTATCTTATTTGAAACGCTTATTACCTCAAGGTTTCCCTTTGCCTTGGTTTCCATGAAATATTAAATCTTGCTTTGTTAAAAAAATTAAAACTATCCAGCGGAGCTTTAGGGAGACATTCTTATGTTTTACATTGAAACAAGTCAGAGGGGCCACAAAAGCGTAGAGCTGCAATTAATTAAACTTAGTCCACTACAAAAGATGTTAACTCATTCAATTTACACACAGTCAAATAACTTTTCAAGTAATCTGAAATCCGAAGCGGGTTCTGTAACACTCCCGTATATTTATAGTATGGTCGACTATTGTCAGTAGTGTAAAGTTGGCTTAATATTAACTTATACCTTGAAAGAAACCTATTTGTAAAATAACTTAGTTTTCAATTTTGTTCTTTAAATTCAACTGTGCGACATCTGCATTTGGCGGATGATTCCTTATTACTTCATTACCGTAGTAGGCAGTGAGAGCCACCATACGCGTATCCAGAAAGTTGTGCTCCACCTCACACTGCTGACCAGCTCCACTCAAAGCAACCACCTGGGGCATGTTGGAGTTGCGGGGCAGAAAGAATCCAACGGTATCGGCGAGACGACGGGCCAGTTTCATCAACTTACTGGCGCCCACGGGTATCAGGCTTCGCTCAATATCGAAGTTTGTTTGCTTTTGGTAGCCGGGTCCACCCCATGGAGGACTTAGAAAGACAACATTCGGGCGAATCCTTGAGCTAACTGCAAACTGCAAGAAATCGGCATGGATGAATTCAATCTTATGGGCCACGCCATAGATTCCAGCATTGTGCTTTGCCATGGCCAACTTTTCTGCATCAATGTCTATAGCGATGACGCGCCCGCAAGTGTTGGCAAACTGGATGGCGTTTCCACCACATCCACAAAAAGCATCTACTATTAAATCGCAGGACAGCCGACGAGCCGTCTGTTTGGCAATCTTCTCAGGCGTCACCGAGAACCAGCTCTCGCGATCCAACCGTATGCCCAGGTCGAAGCGAGAGAACAAAGAAAAGCGCTTCAGCCAATACTTAACCATCTGGCCTTTCGTCTCGTCCTGCATAAACTCCGGCATCCTGGCCTTGGTTCCGATTTTTTTTGCCTTTTTCTTCTTTGTGATCAAGCCACTCTGAACGCCACGCAGCACGAGACTCTTATCGCATTCCATGATCAGCAGTTCTTCACTATAGTAACTGTAGTCGCTACTTGAAGATTCAAGTAATTCTTTTTTATGTTTGTTCTGTTTCGGACAAGTTTGGGTACCAAATGTTGTAGGCAATCCCAATAGCTTTAACTGCTCGTCTTCGTCTAAATTCCGATACTCCTTAGTAGATGACAGAAAGGTCTCGTCGTCCTCAGCGATCTCTGATAGTTTGCCCTGCTCCGACCGGCTCAGCTGTTCAGTAATGTTTAGTTCGAGAAAATCTTCTTCAACTAGGTTAAGACTTGTATCGAAAGACTTTGCCAATTGATTTTGATAATTCTCGAACGCACAGTTTAATATACGCCAAAATTTGGCGCTCAAGTCGGTGACATGCTTTTCCCACAGTTCCTGCCAAAATGTTTGCTCCTCCGGCGTTACGATGTTAATAAGGCCTTTGTACTCGGGAAATCGCTTGTGCCACTTCAGCTCGAGCAGATCGTGTCCCTCACGATGCCAGAAGTTTTGCCAGGCAACCTGTAGAATAGCCTCCCAATCACACCTGCTAGTCTCCCAATCGCAATGGTCTCCGAAAAACTGACTAAATGTGTAGAACTGAGGGTTGACACGCGACGTGGTCAGGTAGTGGGTGTTCATCTCTCATTTATCACCATTAATTAGTCTTCTTATCTGCAGCCTGTGACTCAGCAATTCATCCGTACTGTCGATCTTTTGAGCGAACCAAACATCAATTGCCGGCTTATGGGTGAGATTCAGGTCGCTCAGATGCCTTTGGCGAGCAAGTGAATCATGGCCCAGGCTGGCCAACTGCTCGTGAATTCCCCGTGTGGTCAGTGTGGGACTATTGGGCCGCAAGACGTTGCACAGCACCACTTCACCGCGCAAAATGCAGTAGCAGCCGTTGCTCACTCGCTGTTCGGTGGCCTTGTCGTAGGTAAGGCCCAGCAGAAGCAGGGATAACGCGCCCTCCGGCAGGGAGCAGTCCCTGAAAATTAAGAGTTGTAGTAAATAAAAGTATGGACTAACAAGGACTCACTCTGGCAGATTTCGCACACGTACGTTTTCCAGCCGAAAATGTTCCGCCACACGCAGTCGTCCAACTATTGAGCACTGGCCGTAATGCAGGTTTCGGTAGTCCGACTCCAACACCAGTTCCTCTACCAGCAAAGTTTTGAAGTAATGACAGTACTCAGGAATATGATCCTCGTTCATTACAAGAAAATAGCGAACGAGTTCTAGTAAATCAAAAATAAAAAAAACACATGCACAATGCACAGTGTGACCATGCACTGCAAAAAACATCTGAGTCAGTAAAAACGACTTTAGTTCCACCAATAGCAACAATCGATAGAATTAATACTTAATCCATATTTAGAGCTAATTATGTAAATTTACAAACATTTATGGATTATTTGATTTCATTTCTCGCAGCGGAAATGCATTCCTGCCAATTATTTTTCAGTTTTCGCTTTTGTCAAGATATCACATGAGACAACATTATAATCGATATATTGTTGTTTTCTTACAACTCAATGTCCATCTCTACATGTGGAAGAAGAAAAAACCCGGCATTGCATATACATTATTATTTGTATTAGAAAGTGACTTAAAAGGTAGCAATCATGTCGTTTATGAACCCCGTAGACATGGTGGATGAAGACGCCGCCGACCTGCAGTTCCCCAAAGGTAACAATCAAACCTCAATTAGCTGCTTTTTAAACTTACAAGTGAAACTGCCTGAAGATCTTTGGCTTATAGCGCGCACGAAAAGCGGCGCAGTCGCCTCCTCCTTCAGATTACCATATTGAATTGACTTATTGTAGTTGAGCTTCTAGGTGAAAAGGTCGAACGATACGCAATTGCCCGCCAGGACTCCAAAACCAGGAGTACCACGGTAGTATACAACGTACAGTCGTTGCACAAACAACTAGAACTTATGGAGGAAATGGCTTGGAACGCGAATAGCGTAGTACCGGTGCCAGCTCCCAGCGATTTCGGCCGTTGTGCCACATGCCGCTGCAACCTCTCCGAGCCCTACATAAAGTGCTCTGAGTGCCTGAACACATTTCTGTGCCTGCACTGCTTCGCGCATGGCAGGGAGATATCGCCGCATCGCAATAATCACGCTTACATCATAGTCCGCGACAGCATTCAGGTGTTTGCCCACGAGCCCCATTGGACTGCCCGAGACGAGCGCATCCTGTTGCAAACATTACGGGTTCAAGGCTACGCAAACTGGGAGGCCGTCTCGCATGCCTTAGAGCAGCGACACGCTCCCATGGAAGTGCGTCGGCACTACCACGACTGTTATTTTGGTGGCATCTTTGAGCGCCTGCTGAAGCTTCAGCACTCAAGGCACAGCTACCTTCCTGAGCGAATGCCGTATGTGTTCAAGATGCGCAGTTTGGATCCCCCACGCCACGACGACATCGCCGCGATTCAGTTTAAGCTAAGTGCCGGATATCGCTGCGCACGGGGAGATTTCGATACGCCCTATGACGCCTCCGCCGAGAGCCTGCTCTCAATTATGGTGAATCAGCGGTCGAGTGAAGATGACCAAGAAGGTGAGAGCAACGAAATGGAACGGGAGATAACCGAGGAACTGCAGCTAGGACTGGTGCGCGCTTATAATAATCGATTAAAGTAAGAAAATCGTAATGGTTAAGGAAAGCCGAAGTAGTCGTGAAAATGGGTGAAATTGTTAATTAATTTCTGACCATACTCTAACAGAGAACGCCAACGTCGTTATAGGATCATGCGGCATCACGGTCTAATCATGCCTAATCGAACGGTTAGCTGGATTTCCAAGTACATGCACGCATTTACCAGTGACACCAGCTGCATGCGGTTCCTGGGGTTCATGCAGATCTGTAAACCCGTAGAATTTGACTTGTTGGTGGAGTCCCTACGACACTGCCGCGAACTCAATACTCGTTTGTTTAAGTTGTACGAATTGCGTCAGCAGGGCGTCAGCACTCTGTCTGGAGCATCGCTCTTTAAGCGGCTCTACAAACAACGTCAGCAAGCTCAACGGGAATACGTCCGCCAGAAGCAACAGATGGATACTTTCGACTGGCAGCACTTGGTGCAGTACTACGAGTACAATCGAAATGGAGAACAATTGCCACCCGGAATCAGCTCCAAGCTGATTGCCTTGAGCTCCCGCCGGAAAGCCAGTCCAATTGAAATTGGAGGTATATAAACGATAAAGTATTCTAAGTGAACGCTCTCTAAAGACGTTATGTCTACTTTTTCTTTCCACAGATTTGCCCGGGTATTCTAAATTGGATGCTGGCGAAAGGAAGCTGTGCAGTGTGGCTCGTTTGGTACCACAATCATATCTAGACTACAAGAACCAACTGGTTTCGGAGCAGGCCAAGCTCGGTCATTTGCGCCTGGCCGATGCGCGGCGTCTAATCAAGATCGACGTGAACAAAACGCGACAGATTTATGATTTCCTGCTGGAAAACGGCCACATCAGCAAACCGCAGTCCCTTGGCTAAACCATAGTTGTTCTTCCATGTTTCACTTGTAAATTGTTTGCATGTATTTCCACAGCTATTTCCACTGACGAATCCCTCGTTCGCTTGTTGTCCTATTTTAGAGTTCGAGACTGCCGAGACGCTGCTGATATCGGAGGTTCACATGTTGCTCGATCATCGCAAACGACAGAACGAGTCCGCTGACGAGGAACAAGAGTTTTCAGAGGTTTTTATGAAAACCTACGCCTACACGGACAGTTTCCGAAAGTTTAAGAACAAGGAAACTATAATGTCTGTGCGAAGGTAGGTCTGATAAAGTAAATCCTGGTAATTCTCATGTTAAACTTAAATTGTACTTATCCAGCTTACTGATGCAAAAGAAGCTGCACAAATTCGAGCTTGCCGCCTTGGGTAATCTGTGTCCCGAAGCTCCTGAGGAGGCCAAGGCGTTGATTCCGTCGCTGGAGGGTCGTTTCGAGGATGAGGAGCTGCGCCAAATACTGGATGATATCGGCACTAAACGCAGCTTGCAATACTAAACACTGCAAAAACCTACATATATATAAGAATAACATAATGTTTTTGATAACAAATAAAATCGATTTCTTTTTTACAATTAAGTCGTTCGTTCGTCTATTCTTCGAAACAAAAAATATGCTACGACGAATTTTAGAGTTTTATTAATGAACCCGATTAACCTTCGTGTAATGTTTGCTATGATAATGGTCGTTAAGGCAATATTTATTTTTAAAAGCCAACAATTTTTTAACTTAAATGCTAACTTATAAGTTATGAGCATTAGCTACTATGGTCTACCGCACGACTAAGAATATTGATAAATATAAGATCTTTATATGCGATATTGAACTTAGTACTAAATTTTTTGTAGGAGATTGGCTTTGTGGAGGAAACAATTTTGTTTGGCGGTTTTCAGTTGTTGGGTTAACTAGAAGTTTGACTTTGGCTTTTCCAGTAAAAACCATCTTCCGATAGAAAAATGTTCCTAAAAACACGGCGCGATCTGGAAATAATAAACATATGAATATTTATCCGTTACTAAGAAATGCTTTGCAATGTCAACAATTCAAGTCAGTGATCAGGGACCCCCCCCCCCCCCTGACGCTTTTCTTTATTATCGTTGGTCACAGTGGCATGAAATAAATAATTTATGTACTGATGTAATTTTCCGTGGTCAATAGAATCCAAATTTCTGTTTCTGTTTTTCATCGCCATTAAACATCGATTAGGTATTTATCGATATTTGGGTGCCTGCATATTGTTGTCTAAAAAAAAATATATATATTAATAAACCCGAATTCCAAAAATGAACAAAGACAACTCGAGCATGCAAATGGACCCAAAACTGGCTCTGCGCCTGCTCGCCGACGGTGCAGTCTTGGCCGTCGCCGGAGTTCCTGAGGGCACCGATTTCGGCATCGACTTGTGCGCCTACACCATCGGTCCGGACTTCCGTGGCGTCAAGATGATTCCGCCCGGCGTCCACTATGTGTGGTGTGCCTCTCGTGGTCCCTACGGGGATGCAGCTCCTCGGGTCGGCTTTGTCCACTTCTTTCATGCCAACGAGATCGTAGTGCGCGAATGGGATAACGAACTGGAGGAGCTGCGGCCCCGCAGGATTGCCGCACCAGAGCTGGAGCGCGAGCGGATTCGCAAAAATCTAGCGCAGCTGGAACGTGTGCTAGCGCCCTACGACTACCGCTATGTGGCTCAGTGGAAGGATCTAACGGGCAGCGTAACAGAGTCTTGCGTAGAGCGATGTCGTCCAGCCGAGGGCACCATTCGCACCAACATCGAACTGCAGTCATGTCCAGATGCAGAGCGTCCGCGGGGCGGATCGAGTGCGAGCTGCACTGGAAGACGGAACACGGCCGCTCGATTCTTGTTGGATGAGAGCGAGCTCCTTCCGGACCTGAAGCCAGTAGAGGGTACAGCTCCCCGCTTTAGCAAAGTGCCGTCGCGTGTTCCACAGAATGCATTACCTGCCGACGTATCCCGCCACGCCATGGATTGTATAGCTGCTGTAGATGAGATGCTCGGCAGCTTCGACTCCGATGACGGTCTTATAGAGGAACTGCAACTGGCATATGCCTTCTTTCTGGTGGGCTACTCTGTGGAGTCGCTCGCCCATTGGCGAAAGCTTCTCGGTTTGCTTTCGCACTCTGAAACGGCGGTAAACAGACACAAGCTCACGTATATGAAGTACAGTGAGGTTTTGGCTCATCAGCTGCCCCACCTGCCCGAGGAGCTGATGGTGCCTGGTCCTCACAATAGTGTTTACAAGGATGTTCGAGAGTTGCTGGTGAATCTGCATTCGGGCGGCCTAAGCGTTAGCGCTGAACGACTAACCAAGCGACTGGAGCAGAAGCTGGGTTGGTATATTGAAGGTCTGCTGGACGAGAATCCCGAGGATCAGCCCGTAATCATCGAGCTGGAGACGGAGAGCTAGGAAGTCTACGCTGAGCCGAATGTTAACTTTTAATTATTTTATATTTATGTAATAATAAACTAGATTGTAATTAAAACAGTTTTTTCTAGCGTAATGAGTGCTGGGTGCGCAGATAAGTCCAGAGATCCTTGGCCGTCCGGATGCTGACCATGAACTGGCACAATTTGGTCTCGATTAGGCAAAGAATCAAGAACTTGGCGCGCTTGTCCTTAAGCAGAGACTACAAAGACGAATGGATGACGATGGGTACCATTGGAAGTATTTACGTAGCTGAACCAAAACGTATTTACTTGCCTCCTCGTTATTCTCTGGACCATTCTCCACCACCGACCAGAGTTCCTCGGACTCCAGATATGCCCGCACCGTCATCGACCAGGCCTTGTAGTTGTCCAACCCTTTAAGCTTCTCAATTTGCAGCTGCAGTGCCATCTCCGTGACTCTCGAGCAACGTATTGCAACTAAACCATAGATGAGCTCTTTGCCTTACCTCTTCCAATTTCCTCCTCGCCTGATTTTCAAATATAGATATGTATGTTTAGGCATTTGTATATGGCTTTTCCATTGTGCGCATCTGCTTCTGGAAAGAACAATAGACCACTAGACCCACATTTTGTGGTTGCTTCTGGCTATCGAGAAAGTGAACTGGCGAAATGACATTGAGCTTAAGTGGACACTTTGTATTTGACGCAAAAGCGTCGTCGTCGTGATTGTGGTTTCTCTCTGCGTTTTGTGCTGACCGAAGACTGCAATCTATCATAAGAAATCAAATTTGTTCCTTAATTTTAATTTTAGTGCGAAAGACAGGACACAAAAATGTGATAAATATAAATATTTTGATTTCAAAATTCTGTTATTTTCTTTTTTATCATGTTTGTTTTTTGTTGGCATACTTTTGGACAGAGAGATTAATATGACAGTTTGTTAATTAATTAAGCACTATTTAAATCTTGTATTAAAATGCCAGAAAATAAAAGTGCAGTGATAGTGCTAGGAATTTTATAGAAATTATTTATATTTTATATTTTTTATAGAATCCGCTGACTAGCTTTAGTCGTCTTTCTTAAGGTTTAATTGTACCTGAAAACACATTTTAATATTAAAACCTTTACCCTCTCGACCCACTTCAGAGCGTTTGATCCGGGTTATGTTTTCTGCGTAGTCAAATGGGTGGTGAAAGCTTCTCGAGTGCCTTTTCAATGCGTAGTTAATGTGCACTCACCAAAGTTTAAAGTAAAACACAGTACTGTCTATTAATAAATAGACAACTGAAGTATGTGCAAAAAATGTGATTTCCTTGATGATAATGCACAAGACAATACAACCATAGGATTATAATAATTCAATTTTAATGAGAGGATGTGAAAATAATTTTAAATTCCTTACTGAAATTCTTGGAGCTAGCCTTATTTAGTTTTATTGTCCATTTATGTATACATAAGTACACATACATTAATAGGCAACCAATTTCAGTGGAATTGAACTATGTACCTACGATAGAAAAATTTCGTCTGGAACATAGCTAATGTATGATGCTCTATTCCATATTTTCCGCTATTATTGGTATCGCGCACTGTTTTAAACTAGCTTCCCCCTCTTCCGACCCCATCCGAAACTCAATTAACAATAAATTGAGATGCCCAATTGTTTGTTTTTGTTTTTATGATTTTTATTTGAAATGAATACGAATGTCAGTTTTTTAGCTTTCTTTTTTTGTTGTATTGCTGTTGTTCCGTTCAAGAATGTAGCGCGGTTGTCGTTGCTGCGGCTGATTTATGCTTAATCAACTTTCTGCACGGGTCTTTTCAGCGTCTGCGAATTATTGCTCGTCTGTCATCTATTTAGCGCGCCTCGTTTATCAAAAAAGGCAGGCTGCGTAAAAGAAACCCGTGCTAAAATTTTCCTTGCAGCTTTTCTCATTCGCTAACACGCTAAAACAAAGATGTTCTGCTTTTGGGGTTTTCGTTCGGTTCTTAGACTTTAAGCTAAATTAAATATTTCTCGTCTGTGCTGCGCGCTTTTAGTTCAGTTTTCGGTCATTGGTGGAAATTTCTGTTTTAGATGCAAAATTGAGGACTTTGGAAAATCGGGCATTTTCGGGTTGAAAAAATTTGAAATCTCTACAAATTACATAAGTGGTAGGCATAGAAAATATACAAGTATATATGTATACAATATATATATAAATATATATGTACTGTTGTTTTTATCGTTTTCGTTTTTCTTGTATTTTAGAAACTACAAATACTTTTCTATTATTATTAATATGTTTCATTTGTTGCGCAAGGTAAAGAGATGATGTGAAAAATGTTTGGAATTGCGAGTGGAAAACGTAAATCGAAATTCGAATATCGAAAGTCTACAAGTTAACAAAATTAAGTTTAAGTTAGCGTTTACGTACGATGAGAGTAAGGAAACGTTAAGAGAAATCAAAAAGTTCGTAGGTGTTGATGTTGGCTCTGATGAGTGCAAGTATGTGAGTGACTGTGTATGTGCGTGTGTCAGTGTCTGAACAATACACTTACATACATACAAATTTAAGCTTAAGAATTCGTTTTGAATTGTCGCTTAACTAACATTCCCTTTTCTCACTTTAAATAGTTTTTGTTTCGCTTTATTTCGGTCTTTCATTCTATTTGCTCATTTCGTTTCCTGGTTTACTCTTTTACTCGATTTTATTTGTATTTTAATTTAAATTAATTTCTGTATTTTTCCTTACATTTTCGAATTTACGGTTCTGTTACCTTTATTTTGCGCTTATTAATTTCGTTTTCGTTACGTTTTATTTCTTCGTTCTCATTTTTATTATTGGCTTAAAATTAAAGTTGTATTTTAAGTGTTGCTGTTCTGTGACTTTTTCTGTTATTAGTTTAAAAATTAATGCATGCCAACTGGATGAAAATTTGCATTTTACTTGTGATTGTTTCTCAATTATTCGTTAAGTGTTTCGATCTTTCCTCTTTGTTATGCCTTTTTTGTAGTTTAAATGAAATTTATTTGTTATTTGTTTTTGCTTCTCATAATTAAATATAATATTTATTTAAATATAATATAATGCTTGATTTCTCGAATGCAAATTTTTAATTGTAATAGAGTTGCTGTCGCTGTTTTCTTCTGGCCTACGAAGACGGAGGAGACAATGGAACAGATAGGCGACCACTTATTTTCTCGCAGTGATCCATCTCATACTGTCGCAGCCACCGCCACGCCCACCAAAATGCCGCCCCAATTTTCGAAACATTTGGTTTTTGTGGTTTTTTCTTTCTTTTTCTGTGTGTTTTTGTGCTGTTTCGTTTTCCACGCTTGTTTATTGTTAAATGTTGTTGAATAATTGTCGGCTTCTGTTGCTGTTTCTTGTTGCTGTTTGATGATCCTGACGCGTCTGCTCCCACTGTTGTCTTGTGTTGATTGCGAATGATGATGCCGTGTTGTTTCCAGTTTTCTTGTTGCTGTTGTTTTGCTGTCGTGTTGTTGTTGTATGCATATATATTATATGGTATTATATTTACTTTAGAAGGTATATAATGTGTTTTTTCAATGGAAGGGCGGGGGGTTACTTAAATTACGACACATCCTGATCCTCAACATCCTGAATTTCTGCTTTGGGCTCGCCATCACCTGCGTTGGGGTCTACTTCTTAGTATAATAGCAATAATTTAGAACTTAATAGAATTAGACTGTGTTATAGATAACTTACCTTCTGCCTGCATATCGGACGTCCATAATGTGAGATTGTCCCGCAGTAGCTGCATGATGAGTGTAGAGTCTTTGTAGCTCTCTTCGCTCAGCGTATCCAACTCGGCAATGGCATCGTCGAAAGCGGCTTTCGCCAATCGGCAAGCGCGATCCGGCGAGTTGAGGATCTCATAGTAGAACACCTGCATAATAGAGATTTAGGCAATAGGTAAGAAAAGTTTCTCGCAAAACAGCAGCTTTAATCAATTCCCACTTACCGAAAAGTTCAATGCCAAGCCCAAGCGAATGGGGTGTGTTGGTGGCAGATCGTTCATGGCAATATCACTGGCCGCCTTGTAGGCAATCAGCGAATTCTCCGCCGCGTCCTTGCGATCCGAACCGGTGGCAAACTCGGCCAGATAGCGGTGATAGTCGCCCTTCATCTTATAGTAGAATACTTTGCTTTCGCCGGATGTGGCGCATGGAATGAGGTGCTTCTCCAGCACATTCAGTATATCCGAGCAGATGTCGCGCAGCTCCTTCTCCACCTGGCCTCGATAAGTTTTGATCATTTCCAGCTTCTCCTCAGCGCCCTTATTCTCCTCCTTCTGTTCAATCGAAGTTATAATGCGCCACGAGGCGCGTCGTGCTCCAATCACATTCTTGTACGCAACCGACAGCAGGTTGCGCTCTTCAACGGTCAGCTCGACATCCATCGAGGCGACCTTCTTCATGGCTTCGACCATTTCTGCAGATGGCATAGAGATAAGGTAGGAAATAGATAGCAGTTATTAAAAATGTAGCATGGTAATTGTAGGTAAAAGCTAATTTCACAGTAAAACATATTTTGCCTCAGTTCCTTTTGCTTTCCCAACTTCTAACCTTTTCTAATACATAATTTGTTTTTAATTTAATCGTCGTTGGACACAAAATTTAACTTAAATATAAAGAAAAAAAAACAAGTGCCACGGAACTGAACGAATTTTAGGCGCTTCCCAAAGAAGACGATTAAAAGAGCATAGGAATTAAAGTAAAATTCGTAGGTTTGAAGTCTATGAAATTAAGAAATTCAAGAAATATAAATACATATATATATTCATTGAAATATATACATTTAATCAATTGTCAGCGATTCTTGTCTGGATTACCCCTGTAGCGAGTTAAGGACTTAGGACTTGCGTTGGTTTATTACCTTTTCCTTATCGGTGTGACACGCCCAATCCATAATGATATATATAATTCATGCAGCCGGCGCGCAACTTCAGCATACTAGCTGGGCGGTTGCGTCGTATATGCCCGATATAACCCGATTTTGTCATAACGCCGCGGACACACACACCCACACACAACCCAATCAGCCGGTGTTCCGATAACATTGTCCGCCAGTGTTGCACACACTTTTTTCCCCTTTTTTTTGTAGTGACCGGCATCATCAGCCTAAAACTGCGCGTCATGAATCACATGCACGGAACTCCAGCAAAAAGCAGATGCAGAGCAACTACTTGGTGTGTACATTGTGTTGATAACACACAATACAGAACAAATCAGAGCTAAAAAATATTGTAATTGCAGCGTTCCTCACATTTTTTTGCTGGTTTGCACTTGGCTCGCAGTTGCGCCAGTCAGCTGCTGACGTATTTCGTGCACATACACACGCATGCGGACATTCGGACAGTCCCAGACAGCGGGACATTTGCGAATGTGTTGTAGAATAAATAAACCTATATATGAGCATCAATGTTTCATGATTCATTGGTGCGTCTTGATTTTTGTTTTTTTTTAAGCTTCGTGAATTTAAAAATAATGTAATAATTGTTGTTTGCATTGGCACATTGTACAACAGTAGAAATGTGTAATGCGTTTAATGAGCAGTCGATGCAAAGGATGTAAATTTTAGAACGTGGGTATAAGTTCAGCCCCCAAGCCCCCACCATGTCCACATTTAAGTACAGAACATGTTGCTCACGATTAGGCAAATTTACATCCAATTATAAGGCATGCGCGTAGTCGAGTCACCAAATATTAAACAGAAAATCAATAAAAAGGCCGCAAAAATTAATGATTATGCCAAATCACCGAACCACAATAGTTCAAGCGTGTATCAAGAGCTTATTTTTGTAATATTGTCATCCTAAATATTTAAAAATTGTCTTGTGTGCTTTAGATCGGTAATAATCATAGTAATATATAGATATTGCTTTACTATTTCTTTTTTACAAATTTGCAGCTTTTCATGCTAAACAAGAATATTGTAAGTTATAGGCTCGCGTAAGTCTTCTACCCTGCGTTAAAAACATCTGACAAAATCATTAAACACTTTGCTAGGGTTAAAAAGCATTAGAAATATCGGTCAATAATGTAAGTGTAACGTCCACTCATTAGTTCTAATTTGAGGTAAGCATCAGAATTTAATTCCTTTTGAAAAACCAAAGAATAAAAAATGATTAGTACCGCCATACGAAGTTTGCCTGTGATGCCCCTAAACACTCTAGACTCAGCCGCTGTATATGTGCATCGTATGGATTCCCAAGTTTTATAATCTGTAATTTGCAAAACTCAAAGGACCCAAGCCAAATGTATGGAATACATATTATGTCAGCTGAAAATACTGCTCAAACTAGAAATTTCAACAAGAAAAATATCGAAAATATACTAGGTCGTCGAAGTGTCATACAAGAAATTTTGTAAGTATAAAGCGGCTTCATCGGTTTTTCCAACGACACAGCTGTAAATGTACTTGATGGCAATCCTAGTAGGAACCGTAAAACCTGTCCAAAACCACCCACCCAAAAACAAACATAAAAAAAATGTGACGCGAGCTACAATAAAAGATTAAGGCAAAATAGGGACCAAAAGGCGATGAATGTGGCAGAAGTTGCACACTCCCTCTTTCCGTTCTTCCCCCTGCCTAATCAACACCGCTTGCTAGTGTTTGTATGGGTGTGTCTTGCGTTTGTATGCGTGACGTAAGGGCAGAAACTGAAAAACATGCGCACATACCGTTACAGTAAAAAAAAAAAAATGTTATTAGACAAAGGAAAAACTAACAGAGAATGACCACTTGAATACGGCAATTTGAATACAAAATAAGAGAAACAAACAAAACACACCTATCCACCGCCCCCAATTTTCCAGTGCTCATCTATCAACCTTATGTACGCTCTTTTTTCGCATATTGACGACATTGACGGGAACGAACATCAACGGAAAAAGCAGTGCACGACCTCGAAAAAAATGTAGATAGAACGCGACGAGTAAGAGGAAGAAAGAGACGAATCGGTGGGGGCGAAGGAGCGGCGCGGTGCGGGGGCAGCACCTGAGAAAGCACACTTAAAGACTGACGTTAATGTGTATATAAAGGGAGGGGGCTCCGACAGGGGGCGAGGCAAGTTCAGATTGGGGCGCAGACATAGCCGGCTGGCGGCATTAGCGTGCCAGTGTGTGCGTGTGCTCTCCGCCGAACACACTGGTATGGGTGCTCCAGCATTGAGCGTCGCAACAGCCCAAGTGCGACAAGGCCAACGCCAAGTGCTCCATGCATACACACATACACAACGGCAACGCCAGGCAGGCGAAAATAAGAAGACAAACATGTGATACAGACACGAATATCCCAGTATGCGTCTGTGTGCGAGCCGTGGCTGCTAATAGTTGATTGACTTCTTTGCGGCTAGAACAGCAGCAACAACGGCAACGTCGAAGAGACGCCGCCCGTTAATGTTGTCAGTTTTGCAGGCAATTATCCATAGTACTGTTGCAATTACAGTCGCCTAATGTATGGCAAAAAAGCACTCATTGTTTGTTAACTTTTCAAGGCACTGTGCCGCCGCGACGCCGACACACTAGTTATCTCGTTTTAACGCATGCAACGGCTATCTGCAATTGTTAAGCGCGCGCTTTTTGCAAACGCCGAAATTCCCTGCCCTTCTCTGTTGATCAGTTTCCCTTCCGACTCTTTCCGCTTCACATTTTTGGGGCATTTTTTAATTAACTGAAGTATTTTTAATTAAATATAAGCAGCAACAATAAAAGTTCCCGGCGAACACTCATCCGTATACACACACAGGCACATAAGGCAGGCACACATACATGCGCCTGAGCATGAGTAATGCGAGAGCAACAGAAAATTTTTTTGCACTATCAGACAGAGTTGCCAACTGGCTGGAGTGCCAAATGCAAAGAAAGATGTTAAAACTAGCCGCAACTAATTTGCATAAATAACCAATTACGAAAAAAAAAAAAACTAGAGGGAAACAAGAGGCCGGCGACAACTCTACTGCACAATCGATTCATTCATCGATTTTTCGCAGCAACGCTGCCGCTGCTGCGCATGAAAAGCACATTTCGTCGGACAAAAACGAAAGAAATAAAAGGAGGAAGGGTCAGAGAGAGAGAGACCCTACATTCCAACCCCATTGATATTGGGTGTGGAGCAGCAGAGCACCACATATTTAAATATAGTTAATCCAAAAACTATACCGATTCCTTCTAGAAACTTACGCCTTGACAACACCTAATAGAGGAAACGCTACAGCTACAAACAGCCCTTAGCAACATAGAGAAAACGAAAAATGTTGGCCGCGCAGCCCTCGCTCGCAATGCTAAATACACAAAATTTCGTTTTACCCCTGCCCCCGACCGGTAATACTATTCCAGAAAAAACTATTTGGCCCACCTTGCTGTAAATTATAATACGCAATTTGGTTTCTTTCTCTTTTCGCGAAAACCACGCGAATTTTGCCGGCAAAAATCAGGTTTTACATTTTTTTTCCTCTCTGTCCGCCACCGTCATCGTCTGTCTTCTACCATTCGCTCTGCTTCTTCATCGCTCTCCTCCTCTCGGCGTTCGTTTTCGCAGAAATACTACTCATCGACAGCGACGCTGCGTCGCTTCTACTTCTACTGCTGCACCTACACAAGCAAATATTGAAAATTTTCATCTTTTCCGACTATTTTCCATCAGCGACTATACGTCGGGCCATCAATTGGCGAATTTTTGACGCAAAAGCAGACATGTTGGGCGATTTTTTCAGCGACCACGCGACGACGCGACGGATCTGAACGGACCCCTCCCCAAACGTTGGCGCTCCTCTGACGAGAAAATTTTCCCTACTCAATTTTCAACATTTTTTCGTCTACTCACCATCGTACCGCTCGGCCTGTTCGGCCAGCTTTGCCTTGTACACATTATTCTCGCGCTCAGTCATTGTGTTGTTGAAGCCTTTTCGGTCAAATTAATCCACAGAAAAAATTATTTAAATGCTCCCGGTACGTGCGGCGTCGATTTTGCTTGCTGCTTCCTGCCTTTTGCCTTTGATTCGTCGCCTTCTTTTTCTCTACTTCTCCTAGAGGTGGGCTGAGCACCCGCGACAGTATCGATATATCGAATACTTGGACTTGGGAACCACTACCGTGCTTTTAGTGTCGATAGTAATCGTTAGCGGCGAGTGCATCAAATTTGAACATTACTAAATTTGGACCGGTTTTACTAGGGTTGCAAGCAAAGCTTCTCTCCTGTGCTCAGGCTACACAAACCTGGTTGTATATTTGTTTGTTAATTCTGAGCGTTAGTATGTATATGTCAAAGGCATCTAATTTCTAAAAGGTTTTTTTTTTTTTAATTTGTATACAGGTAGAGGTGATACAGGTGCAATGTTTCGGTTATTAAAGATTAATTATTTAGTTATTTACGGTATTTTAAAAATTTATTTCGATACATTACGAATATTTGCTATCGATGGTTTTGCATTTTAAGTGTGCCCAGTTGCCGTGTAGTCGGAAATCCGCTCTTATTTAATTAATTTTTGATCTCAAGCCGGCGGGCACATTATCGCCTATTTGCATTTATTAAAAAAAAAAAAAAAAAAAAAAAAAAAAAAAAAAATACCTAATCTGATTTTAATTTACTATAGGTTTGTGTTTGGCTATTACGGCTATTAAAACTGCGGCCAGTGTTATGTTCACATGACGAAAGCTAAGAAATATTCGACCATTGGAAAAATGTTTGTAAATTAGTGCGCCAGCATAGTACCAGGTGCCAAAATGAATCTCAACCTGGGTGGATGGATCCACAGTTTCACTGTTACGGACACGCAGGAGCACAAGGGCGGCTACACAATCTACAAGATTACATCTATCGTGAGCTCAATGGATATTTTGGTGGAGTAGAACGGACTCATTCTCATTCTTGCTCATTCATAGGTCTTCCCTCGCTCGGTTCCGCAAGCCCTGACCTGTCTGGTTGTGTGGAAGCGTTTCCACGACGTCAAGCGACTGCACCGTGAGTTGAGCCGGCGACACAAGAGCCTTCAGTTGCCGGGTAAGTTGCCCGTTCCTACGGACAGCAGCTACTTTAAGCGCTTCGAAGCAGCTGTGATCCAGCGCCGCAAAGAGTATATCTTGACTCTGCTCGACTTTGCCGCCCAGCATCCGGCGTTGTATAAGTGCGCCACTTTTACGCAGTTCTTTCAGGAGACGCCATCACCTAATGGCACGCCTCTGAAGAAGCTTTATGTAGAACGGTCTTTGCGGCTGAAGACGGCGGGCGACAACAGCAGCTGCAGTGGTGAATTACGCAGCAGTGGCGATTCTGGGAGTGGAGCGGGAGCAATTGCCGACATCTGCGATAAACTGGATTTGCCCTACGACCCAAATGACGCGGGTGGCATAACGCCTCTGGATCCGCGCTGCGATAAGGAGCAGTCTTCGCTTCCAGACTACAGTGAGCCGAATGAAAAAGAAACTGAAACCAAAGTGGAACCCGGGCTGGTTGAGCAAGCTTCAACGAAACGGGACTATTTACGTCTACTGACGCCAATGGCCTCGATCGAAAGCGAAGATAGCGACTACATCTACGAGGCGGCACTGGAGTTTAGCCACGCCGTCCAAGCAGAGGTCAATTTGAAGTACGTTGAAGCTCACGAGCGGTACAAACACGGCGTGGATCTCCTGCTTAATGGGTCCAAACAGGACGCAAACGAGGAGAGAAGGTTTATTGCTAAGGCAAAGATAGCCAAATATTTAGCACGGGCCGAGGAAATTCATGCAAACTTCCTGGCCAGCAACTGTGTCATAAAGAAGCTGCAGTTTCAGCTCTCTCTGGACATGACGGACGGTGAGAATTTAACACAGCTTGAATGCCCTTGGAACCAATTGGCCAGGTACAAGGTGTTGCAGGTAATCGAGGAGCGCGTGATGCAGGTCCAGTGTGTGACTAAGCCGCAGCAGTCGGCAACCATTATGAAGGGCATCGAAAAACCGGCCAGTCACTCGTTAACCCAGAGCATCTTTCTCCCACAACAAGTGCCTTATATGGTCCAACTGCTTGCCTATTTCCAGTCGGAGCAGAAGATCTTTCTGTTGCTGAGGCAGGCGGAGGGCGGCAGGCTCTACGACTACCTGCAGAGCTACACGCCCACAAGCAGTAAATGTGTCGATTACGGGGAGCTTTTCCCGTCGGAGGTAGAGGAAGAGCAGGAGATCCTAACGGCGGAAAGCGATGTCAGCGATTTGGTGCGTAGCTCTCAGCAACTGCTCAAATCGGTCTGCAACACGCTGAGCAACCTCCAAGCGGGCGTTGCCACACATAAAAAGCGTGGGGCGGACTTGGACCGAATAACCCGGAGCAAGCCCATTCCGGAGCTGTGTCTGCGACAATGGGCCTGCGAGCTAGCTATCGCTATCCACAGTCTGCATGGAAAGGGTGTAATATTGCGGGATCTGCATATGTCTAACATATTGTTAGGCGACAAGGGTCAACTGCTGCTTACGTATTTTTATCAGAACGAGGGAATCAGCTCCGACGACAACTATGTGCATAAGGCTTTAAGTTTGGAGGCGCTTGCGAATCATTTTGTGGCTCCAGAGCGACCGTTGAGCTTTCGCTCCGACTGGTGGAGTTATGGCGTTGTGCTCTATCAACTTCTACTGGGTGTGGTGAGTGAATATCATCTTAAAGAGCCTTTGGAGAGTCTTAATTCAATATACATATAAATTTTTTGTTTAGCCTTACAAGACGACACATCCTGGACAACTAGAGCTCTATGGTTGTGTGCAATATCCCACTGATCCCTTGGAGATATCCGATCATGCAACAGACCTTTTGGAAAAGCTGCTGCAGACAACTCCGGAGCTGCGGTTGGATTACGAGCAATTGCGAGCGCATCCCTTCTTCAAAGGCATAAATTGGCAGCAGGTTGGGGAGCAGGGAGCTAATTCGACGTGAAGGTTATTTAATTTGACTAAAGTTCTTCTTTGAATTAATGGGCTATTCCAAAACAGAAAAGATAGTTTCCTGTGTTATATCGAAATATTTGCAACATGAATATGAATCACTTTCATCACCCTGTATTTTATAGTTTTTCTGATAACAAAGTCGTCAGGTAATAGCCTCCCGCTCTTCTTCTTGTTATACCCTTGCAGGGTATTATAATTTCAGTCAGATGTTTGCAACGCAGTGAAGGAGGCACCTTCGACCATATAAAGTATATATACTCTTGATCAGGATCAACAGTCGAGTCGATCTAGCCATGTCCGTCTGTCCGTCTGTCCGTTTCTACGCAAACTAGTCTCTCAGTTTAGAGGCTATCTGAATGAAACTTTGTAGTTAGCTTTCTATATACACTCACTCGTATATATGTCGGATCGGGCCGGATCGGACGACTATATCATATAGCTGCCAAAGGAATGATCGGAAAATTTTTACAAAAAAAAATTTAACATTTTCAGTTTTCAATAGAATTGGATCAAATTTAAAATATAGTCATTTTATTATATTCTTAAATTTTGTGTAAAATTTTATGAAAATCGGACTACTATATCATATAGCTCCCATAGGAAAGATCGAGAAATTAATACAATTAAAAATTATAGCTTTTTCAGTTTTCAACAGATTTTCATCAAATTTAAGGTATAGCCATTTTATATTAGTCTGAAATTTGGTGTCAAATTTCATGAAAATCGGACAACTATATCATATAGGTGCCATACAAACGATCGTTAGATATGGAGCAAAAATGCAAATCTGTGACTGTAAAATTGCAAATATAATATATAAAGGTGAATGAAATGAAAGCAGGTATTACTTCATTGTTTTTTAACACAAATAAATATAATTTATATGGTATGGATAGTCATAGAATTTCTATCTGCAAGGGTATATAAACTTCGGCGTGCCGAAGTTAGCTTCCTTTCTTGTTAAGTTTATATTTGATTGTTTAGTGTTTTGTTAATTCCTCTCGATCAGTTATTGGTGAAAATACAATTTATTTATATTTAAATTATATATTCTTCCAAAATTACCTATTTCACTTTGATCACCCTGTATTTTATAGTTTTTCTGATAACAAAGTCGTCAGGTAATTGTCTCTCGTTTTTAGTCTTTTTAAGTTTGTTTTTGTTTGTTTAGTGTTTTGTTAATTACTCTCGATCAGTTATTGGTAAAAAATAAAATTTATTTATATTTCTATTATATACACTTCCGAAATGATCTATAGAGTATTCATTGCTTAAAAATATAATTATAAATTTAAACTAGCATTAAACCTAAGTAAACAAACATTTTCAAACCGATATATAAAGAGTAGTTAGGATAAATTAGTGTGTAATATTACTTTGTAAAGCCGAAGACACCTAAATATACAATATATAAAAGAACCAATTTATTGTCTAAATACACAACAGTATTTGGGGGGCTTAGTTTAGGATTGGGTAAACTCTATAACTAGGTTTCTATTCTGTGAACGACGCAGGCCCTTAGCTGGTAAGCCAGCATCTGGTCATTTCACCGATTAATAAGGCACATTTGGAATGCATTTTGGGGGCCTGGACTCGCTCAATCGCTTGATTGGGAAACGCGTGAACCCTTTTTTAACTAACTTATACTTAGGCTGAAACAAAAACCATGTTAAGTTTTGGCAAGACTGGTTGATTCTGTTGTTGTTGCAACATGCATTACTAAACCTAAAAGGAACCCATAACATCATGAAAACAATGACCAAAGACTGTGTGTGGAACCGACCAGAAAGAGAAACACACCAAAATATCATTAAAGAGAGGGAATTCAGTCAGAGATATACGAAGTCGGCTATGTACATATAAATATATATATTCATATATATATATATTTCAATACCTGTTAGTTTTTGATAATATGAACTTTATCCTGAGCTCTTAAGAATTTGAATTTGATTGAAATGCAAAAGTATTTGGTAGTGTAAGACTCTAATTCTTGGCGTAGAATATCTTTCTGGTGCGGCCCAGCTTCAGCCTCGGGAAACATATTGAAATGCTGCACACTCCACGCTCCCGCCTATAATGGCCTCCGAAAATGGTGAACGCCTGACGCAGGGGGCGTGGCCCAGCGGCGATGAGGCTGGTGCTGCTGCTGGTGTCGCCGGTGTGTGAGCATTTCCCTTAATGCAAAAAAGGCGGCAGGACGTAGCTCTGTGCCTGTTGCTGCTCCTCGCTCTTGATCACAGCCTGCAAGCCGGCGCTGTCGTTGTCATCGCTGCTGGTTCCGCCTGTCCCGCTGCCGCCGCCTCCAGTCCCTCCTCCGGCAGCCCCTGAGGCCACATAGTGCTGCGTTTGAGCCTCTACCAAGTGACAGCTGGCGCCGGGACTCAGCTCCAAGCCCGCTCCGCTTTGGTGGCACTGCAGATGGACGTACTTGGCCTCTTCAGCGCTCAGGTACTTACTGCCATTAAGTTGCTGCTGAGCCTGCTGTTGCTGTTGTTGGTGGGCATGGACGGTAACCAGAGTGCCGTCGGGCAATTGCTGCTGCTGGGCGGTCTGCAGCTCCGCCGGCTGATAGCTTCCGCCATTGGCTACGGCCTCCTCTGCACTGCCACCGACTGAACCAGAGGTGGCGCCCATCTCCATGCGTGTGGGACTGCCGTATTCATAGTGCCGCATCGGGAACAGTTGACTCTCGTGAACGTATGCTCCATACTGGCCGGAGTAGGTGCCATAGGGACTGGCCGCTGGCGAGAGCAGGCTGAACTGGGGAGTTAGCTCGTAGGGTGTCTGGTAACTGGTCCAGCTGTCCATGCTGCCCGGTGGCGTTACCGTCGTAGTCTGAGGATAGCTTGTAAAAGGCGGCGCAAGCGTTCCGGGATTCAGCGTCGCCGTTGGCGGCGTGCTCGTTTTGATGTAGCCCGTTTTTCGTGGTGGCTCGTGCTTGCGCCACTTAGCCCTCCGATTCTGAAACCACACTTGCACCCTCGACTCGCTCAGGTTCAGCTTGATGGCCAGCTCCTCGCGGGCGAACACATCCGGATACGGGGCCCGTTCGAAGGCCCGCTCCAGTTCTTCCAACTGGTAGGCAGTAAAGGTGGTTCTGAAAAATAAAATAAAAATGAAAATGGTTAGGTAAAAGATAAAACCGACTTCCTTAAATTTCGTTTCGCAAAACTCATTCCGAACACTAAACTAACCCTATCTACATATATCCTTGCAGAGAATAAAAACGTTGACGATCTTTAGGAAATATTATTTCGAAAAATGTATAATTCGAAAAACATGATTGTTTTGATAAGTGAAATGTATTTAAACATGTGTTAATTAAATATATAAATCTCTTAATGCTGATTTTATTGTAATATCAATATTAAGAAAGCCAAAGTGCCTTAATACCATTAATGCTATCTAAATTCATTATTCAACTGAACAAACTACTAATAAAATATTAGAGGAAATCAAAATATTAAACTGATAAACGTTTAAGGCCCTTAATATAACGGATCCTAAATTCTATATTAATCTATTGCTTTTATGCAAACTTGTGTTTCGTATTTACTTCAATGCTCAATAAACTTTGGTTAGTAATCAACCCTTCAGATTGTATGTCTACACACCAAGTTCTAGCCATTTCCTTACTAACAATTAATTATACGTCCCGTGGCTCTGTCCCATAAATAAATAATGTTATTGTCTTGGTGCACATAATTTCATTGATTTCCCGTCGTTAAATTAATTGGCAGTAAGAAGCCATTGCTTACCTCGTTTTCTTCTTCTTGATGCCATTAGGATCGCCCTTCTTCTTGCTGCCGTTGCCGTCTTTTTTGGGCGTAGCTACAGTCACGCCGCCCGCTGTGCCAGCCACCCCCTGGCCACCACCTGCCGCGGCGGAGGAGGAGCTGCTGCTATTAGGCGTCACAGCACCCCCCCACCGTTGACCACCGCCACTGAGCTAGCGGGAGGACTGACTCCAGTTCCACCCGCCGTCTCCATTTGTCCACACATCTCGTCCGCCTTTTTGAGTTTGCCCGCCGTGGAACCGCCATTGATCATGACCGGCGAGGAGTCCTGCAGCAGGCCGTCACTACCATCCAGGTGATCCAAATGGTGCGGACTGCCGCCGTACAGGTGCTGCAGTTGTTGCTGCTGCGGTTCATAGTGATCCTTTGGCGATGGCGAGTAATCCATCTTGCCATTCAGTGGATGGTAGTCCAGGATGCCCACCAGCTGCTGTTGCTGTTGCTGCTGCTGGGACGATTGCTTGTGGAGCAGGATGCCATTGTGGCTGGGCGGAGGAGTGACTGCATAGTGCTGATGGTGGTGCTGCTGCTGGTGATGCTGGTGCTGCTCCACGAGCTTTTGCGGGGCCGTGATATACTCATACTTTTGGCTCGGCGAATAGCACCCAATCTTGTTCACAAAGTCCAGCTTGGGCACGTAGCTGGGCGATCCTCCGCCACCCGTTCCTGCTGCTCCTCCTCCGCCCCCATTTGGCAGAATTGTGTTACAGTCGGGCAGACGTTGCTGCTGCTGCGGGTGCTGTTGTTGCTGACTGCATAGCTCATGGACACTACCCAGCATCACGGGATGCATGGCCGTCGTCGTGGGCAACAGTGGCTTGGCGCCCAAAGGATTTAGCGGACCGGCGCCAAACTCCCCAAAGATGGGATCGTCGAAGCTATCGTGCTCCATTCTGGGCCTAGATGCACAATTTACACACGCACCGCGCACCGTACACAAACTTTAGCTTAAATAATTGATTGATTATAATTATAATTAAATAATCGCTTTGCTTTTGCTTCACTTGGTAACTTTAAATGGCCTTCTCGTGTTTCCAAATCAGTTAATTGTATTTCACAAAAACATGATCTCGTGCTTGCTCTTGTTTTATTAATTATTATTTTTTTTTCCCGTTTTTGGGATAACCAATTCACACTTCTTGGAAGCTTACTACTCTCCGTCCGAATCCCTACGCTTAATTGACGCGGTAACTGACGATGATTGCCCTTTTATACCGGCGCAGGCGGCAGCGCAGCAGCAGCACTGGCAGCGACCAATCGCTGTCGACCAATGGCCGCCGTCGCAGTGGCGCAAGCGGGATGAAGCGATGCCTCCGGCTGGGTTGTGCGTTTCATGCTGGCGCGTGTGACTCGTTCGCCCCGCGATATTTCGGGGTGTGGCTCTCTCTCTTACCCCCACTGGGTCTAGCTGCTTGTGCAGTTTTTGGTGTCATCCTCGGATGCGGAATGCTTGCTACCAGCAGAAGATTCCGCTTTACTCTGGGAACGGCTGAAGAAAGCGTCGGAGTGCAGGGTCCTGGGAACACGCGCACGTCCTACAAGCTTACGGTATTTAAGACGACAATTTTAATCAGGGTTGCTCTAAGGATCGGTGTATATTATTTGTGCAGATTAGTGAAAGAAATATTAAAATGTTTAATATTAACAACTTTAAGTCAAAATTCATTACACCCTTGCAAAAGGGTTTTATGCTATGTTTGCAACGCGAAGGAGACATATGCGACATTAGGTATAGGTGGGTATATGTAAGAAGTCTATCTTAGACCTGGATTGGTTCGGGCTGATAGCGTTTGGTTCTGTACTCCTTATTTTTGGCTTGGTTCCAGTTGCTGTAAATAATTCGTTAGCCCTGTTAGGTCTCATTTGCACAGTGAGGCTAATTTTATATAATTTATATAAATATATAAACAAATGCCGAAGTTACTTTCCATTAGAAACCTAAGCATGGTCTCCTTACCGGAAAAAAGGGGAGTGTATGGCCAACACAGTCCTATGATATCAGGATGACTGAGAACCCATATTAGGCCAATAGCAAACTAGTTTGTTATCTCGGGAAGAAGCCTGCAGAAGTAAACTGGTCATCGAGGAGAATGCTTCAAAACTTGCAATTCTCTTTTCGAAAGGTGCTCCAATTATAGAAAAGCCGAAACTATTTGTCTTTATTCTGTAGCAGAAAGCTTAAATGTCAAAAGGAACAGATTGGATCATGATTTCTTTCTTTCTTTAACCAGAAAAGGAGGTTAAACCAAAATAATGTTTTTTTATGGGAACTTGGAAAAATTGTTTTTTTATAAGGTATGTACCGTAAAATTTTTTAACATTAAAACGACTATTGTTCTTGAGGTTAAACGATTTTTGAATAAAACGAATAAAAGGCATAACTCAGTGGAACGCCCAAACAGAAGGCCTTAAGTGGGCATCTTCTCAAGACTTAAAATGATTTTTGAAATATTAAAATATTTTTGATCCTTATTGCGTAATCACTGCCATGTTTATATCTGACTTCGAAATTCACGACTATTCGTTAGTTATTGGTTTTCATAATTTTAACTGTCGCAAGTGGGCGTGGCCAAATCTTAAAACAACATAAATATTTCCATATTTGGTAGCTCTAGCTTATACAATAACTGAGCCAAAGGTGCCTCTTTATCTGTGTTACATACATTCTCGAATTGATAAGAGTTCTCATAATAAAAAAAAATTTAAAAGTGAACCCAACTTCGGCTAGGCTTCACCGCCAAAAGTCCACCTACATTTTCACACATGTTAGGCTGGCAATTAACCTTTGACTTTTCACCTCGACCCAGCGATGGAATGTCAGGGTTCCAGGGGGATTGACAAGGGTGAATCGAACTCGAACCCAAACCCCCAATGCAACTTCCTCCGGTTGCAACCCTTAAAATGGATCGCTTGGCACACTTTCGACCGTCTTCTGCCACTTCTGTCTGCTGTTCCCACAGCGCGTGTCACCCTCCCAAAGATTGCCTTGCTCTCGTCAGGAGTTGCGTGTGACCTTTTGGCCAAATGCTGGTACTTCGATCGCTGTGAGCACGAGGTGGACATTTAGTCAGGGTCTAAGTTATGGTTTATTTGGGTAGAGGCAACGATTTCACGGGATATTTGAATGAGGAGGTGGGAAGGATGTGGAATCATGTGGGTCGAGGAAGTCACACATATAGATATTGAAATGGGTGATGCTGATGCAAAAGCTGCACTACGACGAAAATGTAATTAAAAAATGTATTTACAATTTCATCTTACTTTATTTATAACTTTTTATACAGTTAAAGCTGTCCATGGAAACCATACAAGATGGAAATATGTTATATCTAAGCAGATGACAAACACAACAAAGCTATTATTCGGTTTCTATTTTCCCGATCGACATTTGAATGTATACATATTCTACCTGAAACTTAAAAAACTAAATTGTGGGGTAGTCCTTTTCTAACCCAGAAATTCAGAAAATAGCTTTTCTCAAATTCAATTTCATTTCGTATATTTATAAAAAAAGTTAAAAAATATGTGCTTAAAACCAATTCTAATATACATTTATATTCCGTTTTAAAAACCAAACCCGCATTGATCCTGAGCGGTGGAAATGTCCGAGAAACTTCAGCTTCCCAGGAACCCACTAAGGATCAAGAATTTTCCCATAGTATCCGTAAGTGAATAGATGAAGAAACCCATCGAATTCCACACGGAAACTACAGAAAAAATCTCCCTTTCGTGCACAGATCGAAAAGTCCGGAACAATTCGATACTTTTCGACTTTGCAGGTCCCAAAAATGCGGGCAAACAGAATCGGAATCGAGAGCTCAAAGGAATGGGCGCGGGACACGCGATCAGCGCAAAGAGATGAAAACAAATAACACACATACACCCCATACTGTGGGTATTGAGTCGCGACCCAGAATGGGAGGGATGGTTATCTGAGGGCCAGGAGTCGAGGGTTGAGGTGCCGGCCCTCTCGTTGCGTGTGAATAATCAGACAATATTTTGCATTGGCCAAGGCACCAATTATGTGGGCTTAGTATTGATATAGAGGAGAATATGGGAAGGAAAGTGCAAGTCTGCCAGATAGCATCTTGGGTCGGATCAAAAGTCAATTGCCACGATCCTTGAACTTAAGGATGTATACTTGGATAAAGGTAATCAGAAGGGAATACATAAATTTAGAATGATTACTCATCTTAACATATTTAACCTTAAAAAGAGTTCTGAGCCGCGGGCTAGACTTGGGTTTAAATGTGGGTCAAGGAATTTCTGATACCAGATTGGTTTTTCCCGATATTTCAATATTTAATACAATTTTCGAACAACAAATTGCCTAGGTTTTTACCAATGTTACCACTTTGGTACGTTGAAGTTTATATACTCTTGCAGATAGAACTTTGATTATATATATTTATGTTAAAAAACAATGAAGTAATGAATGCTTTCATTTCATTAACCCATACACGTATTTTTACAGTTTAAAATTCACAGTTTTGCAAATTCCTCTATATCTAACGATCGTTTGTATGGCAGCTATATGATATAGTCATCCGATCCTTTCCGACAAACATACATACAAGTCAGAGTATATAGAAGACTAACTACAAAGTTTCATTCAGATAACTTCAAAACATAGAGGCTAGTTTGCGCAGAAACGGACAGACGGACATGGTTAGATCGACTCCGCAATCAAGAATATACATATATACCTTATTAAATTGGAAATGTCTTCTTTACTTAGTTGCAAACTTTTGACTAAAATTTTAACACCCTGTAGGGGTAATAAAATTAGGTCTGTGGCGAGGCACTCTAAGCTAAATCGGATAATTAACATTGGAGGTATTAGACAATAGAATTTCTGTGAATAATGAACTCTTGCAACACCCACATTTGTGTTGATAGCAACATGTCCTCAACATGTTCCTATCAACATTTATACTTATTTGGGTTTTGGGCAGTATGTTCCTAGCAGAATTTACCTTAATTTAATAAGATTTTCTTCTGCCTTTCGCCCTGTGTAATTCAAGTATTTCATTAACAATAACATACACATACATACACTTGACTGTAGTTTTTCTTCTTGTGTACAAAAATGTTTTTATTCTAAACAAAAATTGGGTTCAGTCTTCTCAGTGGTTTGCTAAAGTACCGATTTTTCCAATTGAATATTGATTTTCTTCAAGCTCAGTATTAACTTTATTTTATACATATGTAGACTTGATTACAGCATGGGTAGAGAGACTTTAATAGAAAATACTTGGTACAGTTGTCGCTAACAGACAAAGTCAGGGCCTAAGCTTTTGTTGAAAATTTTTTCATATTTTTTCCATTAAGGTATGTACATATACACACATGCAAACAAGCTGACAGACAGACAGGCAGATAAACCGACTGGGACAGACAGATACTCAAAACCCATCAGCACCATCTTCATAATCACCGTCGTCGTCGCAACTACACTTGTCGCACCGAGATGACAGCCCATCATCGGTGAGAGCCTTATCAGTACTAACATCATTATAACAGGAAAAGGATTTGATTTTTTCTATAAAGAAAATATGAATTTATATGTTTCTATTCTATTTCTATTTTCTACGGGCTCTTATATTTAATAGGTTTTATGAGAAACTATTGGTTTTAAGTTTTATTTATAGCATTCCTTGCCTTTAATAATCGATATTCTTAATGTTTATTGTGATTATAATTAAATTTAAAATAAGAAATTTAATTTGTTGGAACTTTTAAGTAATACTTTATAACTTTAATAGATTTTACCTATGGCCCAAAAATAGCTCTTCTGTTTGAATAGATTTGTCAGAACATAACTAAAAATTATACAAATTCAAATTCAATAACTTCAATCTCAAATATTTACACTAATTGTATTTTTTATTAACATACGATCGACCATGATCCAGCTTTCTTTCTGTGCAATAACAACGGCTAAATTAGCGGCAATCCCTCATTGTCGTTGGCATCGGCATTATTACATTGTATTACGATATGAGCGAAGACAACGACGACTTTTTGTTATGCATTTCTATATATGTATGTACTTATATCCAGTACCAGTACATACATATATGTGTCAACGATTCCGTGCGCATTACACATACATATATATGTACATATACCCTACCAGAATACGGCCCATTCGAACA